ATAGTACTTCTGGATTGGAATAGCTCCCTTGAGTTGCTTTTCGATGTAGTATTACAAGTTACAAGGTTTTGATTTTATATAACACTCAGACATATACAATATTTCCCTGAGGTCTTGGATGTTTATATTAAAAGTAAATTTAACATAAATTCTGTTGATATTTGACATTTTATTTAAAGTTAAATAATATATTTTGAGTACATCACAATAGACCATGTAAGTTACAATGTCGTTCGTGGTTATAATGCAAAGCGGAACATTGAATTGCATATTAGAAAAAGAAAAAACTATTGTGATAGTCATAATAAATAATGCTAATGGAATTCACACTAAGTTTTAATTTAAAAATGGAAAAAACGTTATTATAATATGACTTAGGTATTTTAAATGTTGAAAATGATAATAAAGATTCGAAAATATCTTAGTATTTTATACAGATTTAAAATCATAAATATATATTTACATATAATTAATAAATAATGATTTATTTATTCGTATAGCAAGTAAATGGTATAACGTGGATAGTACCTATATACACATATTTTATTATAAAAACAGCTAATAAAAAGTTAAACTTAAACAACAAATATTATTAAAAATTAAAACTAAACTTAAGTTAATAAATTATGATTTATGAATAATAAACTTGGTACAGAATAAAAGTAATGACATATTATACCGTCATAACTCATAAGTTATAAAAATATATAAGGTGATTTACAAAGCATGCTTATCTACTTTTTTCGTCAACAATAATAATACAGTAATTGAAATTCTGATTTTTAGATTTTTTAAATTTATTTAAAGATTATATTATCAAATTATTAAGATTTTTTAACATATTTAAAAAATGTCTTGATGAAATAAACACTACAGTTTTCCACATAAAAATCCCCTTCCCATTTACTACTGAAAATAATTTAGTGGATAATTGCTTTGAAAATGTAATCGAAATTCAAACTAGTATTTTTTTTTGATTTGATAACTTTGGTTTGTTAACTATTTATATTAATGATAATAGATCTGTAATGAAATATTCGGAGAATTTAGAGATTTAAAAATTATTATGACATGTAACGATATACAAATTGCAGATTACGGCATTTCTATAAATCGTTACAAATATTAATCTATACAATTTTATAACTTTTTAAAAACTAATTAATAAATACTTGATTCAATATTATAAGTAGTTTATATTTTTGAAAAATTATTAAAATCGAGCACTATTATTATTATTACAAACATTTAAATAATTGAAAAATTTGTTCAAATTTTAAATTAGTTACTTATATGAAAACTCTTAAAAAATGATCACTCAAATGATTTATATAAAAACAGAAGTTATTATCTCTACAACATAATTTTCAAATAGAATAAATAAAAATCAATAATTTTTATTAACGGAATACGTAGAGGTAAGTATATTTACTACACTGTATAATTTTAGTTGTGAATTATTTGATAATAATTTTAATGAAATTGGTGTAAATCTACACTATACACTTGATAGAATATTGCACTGTATTATTTTCAAAAATATTACTTTGAATTTTAAGATGCAATTTACATTTAAAAATTATTTAAGGTATTATTTACTTTTCATAATGGATAATGTCAATCAGGAAAGGATCATGACGTAAATATTTTATACTTGGACTACAATGTCAATTAAAGTTATAATATAAACTACACTTTATTGTGTGTCATAGAGTTATAACTAAAATTTTACTTTTTAATTGATTAGTTAAATAATTATAAACAATAAGGCTATTAATAAATAATGGTTATAATCATAGGTAAGTATAGTAAATACATTTAAAAAGTGTATCAAAACAATACAAGTATGAATTAAGAAAAATGATTTGCTTTTGTACCTTAAAAATTGCATTTTTAAGACAACCATATCAAATAATTGATTCAATATTAACTAAAAATTAAACTGATTTTTGGTAGAATTACTTTTTCATTTACTAGTAGATAATAAAATTAGCCTATGGAATTACAAACTTTAAAATATTTTATTATTATTATTTAATTTACCTAATTACTTAAAATTTATGCTTATTATAAATTAGACTGTTTTACTAGCTATTATTTATTACTAAGTAAAAATCTTATTTCTTTTGATGTTGTTGTTTCTAAAATCATAACTAATACATTATTACAATATTATATGGTATAAAATTATTGATTTCCGTATAAAAATTAAAGTTAACTTAGCTTTATTATATATAATATTATGTTATTTTAAGTTAATAGTATAATGAATTTGTATTTACGTGAAATTAAAATTTTTAGATTTAAGTTTTAAGTCTATGTAATTTATAAATTTAAATAGATTTAAGGAAGTGGGGTTAAGATAATTTTACATTACATTAAGCGTAATAATGGTAATACATTTTGAAGATGAGATAAATTCTTTGTTTATTGCATTTTATTTTCGATGATAAAATATGATGTAAAAGAGTATGGAGAATAAGAAGATACACGAATGAAAAATGAAGTTTGATTTAATTCAATGACACTTAAAAATATATCATCAGCATTTGTTATCTTTATATTTTCGATGCATAATATGATAACATTTTATAACAGTAAACCTTAAATTAATATTAGTTATACGTATTTTATAAAAAAACGTGGATTTTCTTATTTAATTTTTTCAGTAAATAAAACGCAAACATTTTTGTAAAAAAAAAAGAAAAGAAAAACTAGTGTTGAAATAAAAATGAAAAATGAAAAATATACTTAAAATATCGTATGAAGTGTCCATTGCTTCAAATTAATTTTTACTAATTATGTTGTCAAATTATAAACGAAACTTAGACAATTATTTAAAAAGTTATCTAGTGTAGTTTGTTACATATCTGTACTGTGTTATATATTAATAAATGTGTAGAATTTTTAGCTCAAACAAAATAAAAATAATTATGAGCTTATTTATTGTTTTATTTGATACCTAAATTAGCCAAAAAGTGATTCAATAATTTATGAATGAGATTCGCTTTAATATTTAAGCGTTATATTTTTCAACAATTTTACATTTTTATGGAAATATAAATAATTTATTATACAAAAAAACTAATTTAATTTAATTGTAAAAGCTTGTAAAAATTGCGTTTTATTAATATTATATATTCACTATTACACATTTTCCAGAATTTAAATAAAAATGTTTTATTAAGTAGTTATGAAGTACTTATTTTTTTTGAGAAAAATCGTAATAATGTTCGTTTCTAACAATTTTTGTTCTCGAAATTTAAGTTTTATCAATATTGAGTCACATCCATCAAGAAAATTATATCATATTGTTATATTATTCGTTTAATTATTCAAATCACAATATGAACAGAAAAAATATGCACACGGATAATATATGTAGTGTTATTTAATTTCGTTTAAAACGGTATATTCTAAATTTCAATTTTCGAATTGATGAAATTGAATTTAATACAATTTTTTGAGAAAAAATGAAGTTTTTGACCGATTGGTTCTATTGAAAATCGTTTTAAGTATGTTTAATACCGGATATTTACGTACATACAGGCAGTATTATATATGAAACTGCTTCTTCTCATTACTCAGTCAGCCATCGTTACTATGATATTTTTATTTATTTTTTGTTTTTTAACAAAACGTTGTCCGATTTTTGTTTGGGAAAATTTATTGGTTGATGAAAGTTTTTGTTTAGTTGTGGTTTTTTTTTATTTTTCTCGGTCTAACCCTATTGACCAAGAAATATTCAACAAAAACCTTTAGACGGAAAATCAAAACCCACAGGCCTTCTGCACCGCAGCCCGCATTACTGGCAGAAAACCGTAATTCTTTATAATACCCGAGATTTCGGCGTCTCGTCCAACAAACCAGTCGTAAATCACCAAAGTTTAATCAAAATGAATAGGCCACCGGAAGTCGGAGAGCAAACAAAAGTGATCGCGTGTAGCGTTCGCGGGCTTTGGACGCGTCGTTGGAGGTACGCGCACTACGCTTTTTCTGCTACCACCGCCAACCTTTGATGGATTTCTACAGAAAACAGCATAACTCATGATTATCGCATCTGTGGATTTCGCCGTTTTTTCATCTTTTGTTTGCTCTCAATCTGATTTTATTTTAGCACGAACACTTGACCAGCTATAACATATATTTAGGTATGTAACGCCGTATCTAGAGACTAGGTTTAGGTATACATAAGTTATGTATTCAAGTATTATGCGTAAAATATATTTAGAAACGATTAATTTTATGTTGGAAAATTAAAAAAAATAAATATCTCTCGATTTATATGTGATGTGATGTTTTCATACTTCGTCTAAGTCATACCACCACTTCTGAGTTCAGTGGATAGTGTCTTATAAAATATTGTCTTACTAAGTTTACCTCTTGAAATACATTTCTGGATAGATATTTAATAATTCCTTGAATTTAATACTTTGTAAGTGAGTATATTGTATTTTATTTGAAAAGAAGTAACCATATTATTATTACCGACCTTATCAAAACCTTATTTGATCGATCGATTCCCTCTGCATATCCTTGATGGCTAAACTTGCAATGTTTGTTAAAGTTTGCACCAATATCATATTGTGGTCAAAGAGCAAAACTATATTTAAGTTACTAATATTTCTGGGCTTCTAGTTGCTTTAAATCTAACGTGATAACCGGTGATATATTTGGAAGGCACGGTAATATTTTTGTGGAGTGAACTATAAATATATTTAATCTATGAAAAATACCTTATATAGTTAAATGGTAAAATTAATACACTATATAATATTAATTTCACGATGTTCATAAATTTAATAATAATAGCAATCACATGTTTTTTGTAATAATATAGTTTAATATTTGTTGTTTTTTCTGATATTAAGTTAATTTCAACGCAATATAAACCTATTCAACTGATGATAATTTAACGTTACATTACTAATGATACACATCGATTGAATATCGCTAATAGACAATTAAGCTTTGTAAAGTACTACATATTATATACTTACTGCCATAAGTAGTTGGCTGAGTTCTTGATAGACGGCAAAACAAGATAAAAACGGAGCTATGATTACTACAATGGACGCAAATATCAACACGTACATTCCAAAATAAACTTGCCAAATTTCAAGAGCATCGATCCATTCTTGGAGTGTCGTGTCGAGCCTTGAGTACACCACATAGCCCCATAAAAATATTCCCATTATCTAAAAAAAATAAAAGTAAAAACAATGTAGGTACAATAAAAAAATTTTAACAAGTTAAATTTATAATAAATGTAATTATTGCTTGCCTTTATATTAAAACTTATTTTAACAAAAGCAACAGATACTTTAAATTTTTACGTTAATTAAAAAATAAAGTTATTTTATTAAATATTATTGTTTTTATACACTGGTGCATAATATTCTATAATTATAAGTAACAGCTATAACTTATAAGTTAGATATAATAACCGTTGATAATTGGTTTTAATGATATAACCAATCAATAAAGACCAATGGTTTCGAAAATGAATTTTATAGTATGTATATTGTATATACAGTGTGTATCATTTATGAATTACAAGATTAAATAAAATTAAATAAATGTTAATACTAATTGTTTTTTTATAATTTCTATGATATGTAAATATGTAATCGTGTTTTCAAATATTTAAATTATTAATTACGAAACAACAAAACTTTAGGATACATACAATTATCGTAACATTAAAAAATAAGGGAAGTAGATTACCACTCTGTTACACAATGTAAGTCAAGTAAATTTGTTATTGAATAGGTACTGTAATGAATGTGTTTTAAAAATGATAGTATTTTTTGTTTTTTTCTCTCAGACCCACACGCAACATAAAAAAAAAAAAAAAATATTCACGTACAATTTGATTAATTTTACAGAAAAGTTATTTATTAAAAAATTATATAATAAATAATTACTATGAGAATTTAACATATCAGTTTTATATTTTATTATTATTTAATCATGTATTTCATTTAAAAAAACAAAAAATAACTTTTTAAGACAATATTTAGAAAAATTGATATTTTATACACTTAAAAATATTATTCTCTATAATTTTTGTAATGAGTAATATTTTTCAAGGATTATTTGCAAACATAAAATAACCATTTTGTACAGATATGTTTTTCTAGATTAAGAAATAGAAAGAAAAAAAACAATAAGTTAATCTTCTTTATTTATAATTTTGGACTTCAAGATCACGTCGTTAAACAGATTTGTGTCCAAATTTCCTAATTTGAAACTACGTTTTGCTAACTCTTTCAAATCCGCCCCTAGTCACACTTTCTCTATGTTATCTTTGACTCTATCTTCCCAGCGTAGTCTTAGTTTTCCAAGTGGTCGTTTTTCTTGTAGTGTGTTCTTCTGTACTGTTTTAATGATCCTGTCTTTTGCTAAGAATGATCTGCCTACTTTAGCCTTTATTTGGTGATATCTTCTCTGATGTTTGGCTTTTAATATAGTTCTTGAATTTCCTTGTTTTTTACGTATTCTTCATTTACCTGTGGATTCGTTTTTACATGGTCTATAGATTTTTCTCAGTACTTTTCTTTCAAACACTAATAAAGCATTTTCATTTATTTTTCTAAGGTCCAAATTTTAGACATATATGTCACAACAGGTTTGATAAGTGTCTAATATATTTGAGACTTCAAGCTCCTAAAAATTAATCTGGATCTTAGTAACTTTGTCAGGACAAAATAATTTTTTTTTGCAAATAAACAATACGTAGTTAACATCTTATATTTTAATGTAATGAGAAATCATTGTAACGATGAAAAAAACGATTCAAAATTTAGACAGTTAAACTTAATAATTTTAAAGTGTTAACAAATGTTAATTTTTATTTTTTTAAAGTGCTGATAAATTTCTTGTATTTTAACTTCCTAAAAGTTCTTACTCTATTTAATTTGCTACAAGATAATTTTCTGTTGATATTAATGATCATAGCATTATTATTACTAACTATTTTGTATGTTTTCATACATAAAAAAAAAAATAAAAACAAAATAAATAAAACACGCTTCATTGTAAAATCAATATTTTTATTTCTACACTCAGAATCGATCTCTCAACAAATTAATAAGACAAATAAACAATTAATTGTTATTAAAGAGTTAATTAAAATATCTGTATTAATTGTTATGTTAATATTTATTTATGGTGAATCATATTATGATGTAGAATAAAAATTGTCATATTTATCGATAACGTTTTGTTAATAATGCATCACTGTAAGTATCTATTCTTTTCTGTGTTGTGAATTTCCCAAGCATCACAATATACGAGTATGTCGTTTTAACTGACTCCTCTACAGTATAATAACAGCATAGGTATATTATCATACACGGTAACAAAGACACCGTGCTCGTTTCATCACTATAGCAATGCAAACTTTAGACTTTTGTTTATTTATCGGGGTAGAAACGTCAGTAAAACAAGTCACACCGTACATCAAAAATAATAATATTCATGCGCACGAATTGTCATCACAAGTGTATTATTATATTGTTGGCGTTGTATGTACTATTTTGTATCCGAGTATGTTTCTTCGTTGGATCTGTCCAACGTAGACTCGTGTATAGATAACACGATATTGGTTTGTGACGCGGGTAATATTATATTCGTTATACAGATGTACTTTTTTTCGACAATTTAGTAAAAAATGTTTATGAAATCATTAAAAATAAAATTATTAACCTATCATTTCACAAAAAAGAGCAAATTTAATTTTTTTATTCCATCTTAGGGTAATACAATTTCCAAAATATTAATGAAAAGGAATATTGAATAAGTCAATTACCATTTATTTATCGTTGTTTTGATAAACTACGTCATATTTCATTAAGATATTCAAGTTTAAATACAATATATAGTGAATTATTATAAGTGAAACACTAAACAAAACAAACTTATTTAAATTATATATATATATATATGCCTGAATTATGCGTTTACGTTCAAAACAAAAAGAATTCCTATTGGAATGTTATAATGTACAACTATTTATGATAAAGAATTTAAATCATTAAATGAAAGTTGGAATGTTGTAATGTACAATTATTTATAATAAAGAATTTAAATCATTAAATTAAAATTAAATAGTTTTAAACTAATAAATTATAATAATTATTATGATGGATGTAAAATTGCACACATTGCACTTACAATGTATACACATATTAGTATTATTTATTTTATTATTTGATATATTATATATATATATATATAAATATATATACTTGAATTCAGTGTGTGGATAAAATACAAACAAAAAATTAAAGCTGAACTTTTAAAATAAAAATTCTTGTTGGTAGTAGTATTTTATAAAAATAATTACATATGTAATATTTAGATGTTGATATAAAATAATAAATTATGAATTGTTAATAAATTGAAGTTCATTGAAAACGTATAAAGTTAACAACTGCGTGGAGATTTTACCTAATCGGAGCTTATGCTTTAAAATAGTTGTAATTTTGTGATTATACCGCTATAATTACAGTTTTATACTTATATTCTATTCTATATCTATAATCATAAAATTAATAATAGTACAATGTATAACATAATATTTTAATGTTTCAAATTTGCTTCCTTGTCTTTCTAATATTTATTTTATTATGGATACAGTTGATTTATTAAAAAAAAAAAAATAATAATAATATAACTCATTATAATAAGAAAAAAATTATACAAAAATTACAATTTAATTTTCATATTCTTCGTACAATTCCGTAATTGGAAATTTCTACAGAAGTATCAATCAAGTCAACTTTAAATAATTACATCATTATACTCTATGATTCAATATAAAAAATTAAAAAAGTTTTTTTTTCTTAATTAAGTATCTTTATTTTGTCAATAATATATTTAAAACTTGTATATCTGTTAGTTTTTGTAAGAATCTAAGTAGTTTTAAATCGATTCATGCATGTCATTATTTTGATATTAAATTGTAAGAGTAACGTAACTATTTATTATCAATATGGTAATCGTAACTGGAAAATACATTTTATAAATACCAAACTAAAAATAATTCAAGTAGGTACCATTTTTAATTGTATCCAGATTTAGGTATATTCTGGTAGTTCATATTCTCAGAGAAGTTCAGATCTTATGTCTCCGGTCTTAATGTCCGTAAGAGAATAAGGAAAATACATATTAAATGGTCGTCAATAATGTGAAACAATGTTTGACATAAAACATAATAATATGTCTCTGTGAAAACCAACGTCTTACAGAGTTCATGCTTCATAATATAATATATAAGGGTTGGATTTTATCTGACAATTATGTTTATAAAAATATTGATTTAGGTTCAAATATACTTAAAAATGTGTCATATACAACGCCGCAATGATGACAAAACGGTCTTAAGGATTTTTGTCCATTGACATATAGCAATATTTATCGACAAGGGTATTTTTTTTCTTTTATGTCAATCGTATTTACTTCGTTGTGCACTTTTTGTATTAGGGTTTTGCTCACCGAAGCATTTTTAACGTCTCGCGCCGCCAGGCCAATTTTAGACTTGGGTTTAAAGAAAAAAAGTAAATGGTAAAGGTTTATATTATTATGTATTACATGAAAAAAAAAAAACTAACCATTATTATTGTTGTAAAAACTAGACAAATGCACGTCATAAATATCGCTATATTTTAGATGAAGAAATAATACAAAAACAAAAATACTACTCATAAACATAACTCCTAATAATTAAGTATATAAAAATAAATATTATATAGACTTAAAATAATAAACTGCTTTACTTTTTAAATTCTAAATTTTTGTTATAAAACAAATAATGTATATTAGATATTGCCATGTATATTTTTAAGATTTATATTTTAATTTTTTCACCTAGTAATGCCTAGTTTTTACCTGATACGTTTGGTATACAATAAATATTTTAAATGAATCGGTACATCAATAACTAATGATGATAATTTGTGAATTATCTTTAAAAATGTATAAAGCAGTTGTGTATAATAATTTAAGATACATTTAAAATATTAACAGCTCAAAAATGCATCCGTTATACGATTATACAAATTATTATATTACGTAATTTACACGAGATAGTATAGTTAAAATTTTAAAATTTAGTTTTCATATTAGTTCTTAATATCTAATGAATTATTTTTATCTACCCATTTTTATTTAAAGTTTAAGCTTTACTAAATAT